TACGCCTACCCACTCAAGTCCCGCCGTCACGCCTTTCCCGCTTCTCCCCTCCCCCCTTCCTCCCCCCCCCCCCACCCTCTCCCCTCCCCCCCCACCCCGGGTCTTCCCGCAGCAAGCGATTCAACGACCCAAGTGCCACTCCTGGTTCAGACGCTAGGCGCAAGTACTATGGCAAAGGAAAAGGGTAAGTTCCCCTGCAGTGGACTAAGGGGTAATTAACCCTGCACTATGAAAAGGGCAAGCAAGCCTGCTGGTAGGAAATATCGAGCTTTGTTTTCCTGCTAGCCCTTTTCTGAACTGCTTCCTTCAACTATATCCACCTATCTCAACCCATCTACACCTCTTTCTACCGTTTCGTTCCCCCCTCCTTCCCCCACCCCACCACACCCTTTTCCAGGCAAGAGGGTGCTTCTGCGGGGGGTGACAGTAAAGAGGGCGAGGAGCCTCAGTACAGGGACAAAACAAGGAGAGGCGGGAGGAGGTGAATCCGAATCACCCATCCGCCATTTTCTGCTCTCTTTCCGCCTCTTGCCCCCCCGTTCGTTCACCTCACCATTTCGCAGGGAAGAAGGTGCCTCTGCGGGGGGTGACAACAAAGAGGGCGAGGAGCAGCAATACAGGGACAGGGCAAAGGAGAGGCGGGAGGAGGTGAATCCGGACTACAAAGACGCTGCTGTGCCAAGCCACTTGGGGCAGCTCAATGCTGTCGCTCCGCCTGGCGTCGACTTAACGTGAGTACTGGGGTAAGGGAGACAAAGTACCACCCTTAAAGGAGAGGCGAGGAGGAGAGGAGGGAGGAGGTGAACCCGGACTACAAGGACGCTGCTGTGCCGAGCCACTTGGGGCAGCTGAACGCTGTCGCTCCGCCTGGCGTTGACTTGACGTGAGTATTGGGGTCTCAGCGGGGTTTGTATGCGGAGAGGTAATGTGCTGTGTACTGTAGAATTGAAAGGAGAGGGGGGGGAAGAGGAGAGAGGAGGTGAATCCGGACTACAAGGACGCTGCTGTGCCGAGTCACCTGGGGCAGCTCAATGCTGTCGCTCCCCCTGGCGTCGACCTAACGTGAGTAGCGGGTTAAGGGAGACAGACATGGTACCACCCTTGAAGGTGAGGCGAGAAGGAGAGGCGGGAGGAGGTGAATCCGGACTACAAGGATGCAGCCGTGCCCAGCCATCTGGGGCAGCTCAATGCTGTTGCTCCACCTGGCGTTGACCTAACGTGAGTGGTGGGGTACGGGAGACAGAGTACCACCCTTAAAGGAGAGGCGAGAAGGAGAGGCGAGAAGGAGAGGCGAGAGGAGAGGCGAGAGGAGAGGCGAGAGGAGAGGCGAGAAGGAGAGGCGAGAGGAGAGGCGAGAAGGAGAGGCGAGAGGAGAGGCGAGAAGGAGAGGCGAGAAGGAGAGGCGAGAAGGAGAGGCGAGAAGGAGAGGCGAGAGGAGAGGCGAGAAGGAGAGGCGAGAGGAGAGGCGAGAGGAGAGGCGAGAGGAGAGGCGGGAGGAGAGGCGAGAGGAGAGGCGAGAGGAGAGGCGAGAGGAGAGGCGAGAAGGAGAGGCGAGAGGAGAGGCGAGAGGAGAGGCGGGAGGAGAGGCGGGAGGAGAGGCGAGAGGAGAGGCGGGAGGAGAGGCGGGAGGAGAGGCGAGAGGAGAGGCGGGAGGAGAGGCGGGAGGAGAGGCGGGAGGAGAGGCGAGAGGAGAGGCGGGAGGAGGTGAATCCGGACTACAAAGTCGCTGCTGTGCCGAGCCACTTGGGGCAACTGAAGGCTGTGGCTCCTCCTGGCGTTGACTTAACGTGAGTAATGGGGTACGGAAACAGAGTACCACCCTTAAATACGAGGCGAGAATGGGATGAGGGAGGAGGTGAATCCGGATTACAATGATGCAGCGGTGCCAAGCCACTTGAGGCAGCTGAATGCCGTTGCTCCCTCTGGCGTCGACCTAACGTGAGTAACTGGGTAAGGGAGAGTAACAGAGTAGCAGTGTCAGAAGGGTATGAGAGGGAGCGTAGGGAGGAGTAGGGAGCTTGTCAAATCCTAACCCCCCTAGTGTCCCGATTTTTGAAATTTGAAACCCTGCCCTTTGGTGCAGAAACCCTTTTGAAACTCCTATGATTTTTCTCTTCCTTAAACCTAGTATACGCCCCAAGTGTCAACCTCTAAACCCTACCCCAAACCCTGAACCTCACTGCAGTACCACAGACGCCCACAAACTAGCAATCGAGAAGTCCAAGTTTCTGGGAGGAGACGTGGAGCACACGCATCTGGTGAAGGGGCTGGACTATGCGCTGCTCAACAAAGTGCGGTCGGAAATGAAAGGCCGTCCGGGGGAGAGGGGAGGGGAGGCGGGGGGCGGAGGGGAGGAGGGAGGAGAGGAGGACGAGGAGGAGGGTGCTGCTGCTGCTGCTGCTGCGGCTGCTGGAAAGGCTAAGAGCAGGTGAGGTGTGAGGCGTGAAGCATATGTGTGTGTGTGTGTGTGTGTGTGTGTGTGTGTGTGTGTGTGTGTGTGTGTGTGGTTGGGACCTGTGGTGGTGTGTGTGGTTGGAGTTTCTTTGACTTGTGTGTTTACTCAAGAGGGAGCGGAGGGAGGGAATGGGGATGTGAAAATCATAGAATGCTCGTTGCTGTTACTTTGTGAAAGTAGCAGCGGCCGCTGTTTTTCTAACAGGAGCGATTTATTTGTTCTTGAATATCATCCTTGGTGTCGATTCTCTGGCTCTGCCTCTGTTCTCTTAATCTGCAGGAAAGCACAGGAGAAAGTGCCCACATTCCGCTCGGCCCTTGCTCGAGTAAGTCACTCATCTCCCCCTCTCGTCTCTCCGTTTTGAATCTTGCAGTGCCTAAAAAAGCGTGTGGGAACCGTAAGGGATACTAAGTTGGGTTCGAGTGATGCCCAGCTTTCCCTCAAACCACCCTGTGTTTCAAGTACCACAATCTTTATTTGCCCCGTGTCTCAACTCAAATCGGTTGTATTGTATCCCTCTTCTCTCCAATGCCCGCTCTTCAATCCGTGTTTGAGTCTACCCCTTTCTTCCCCCCCTTAGTCGGTACCCCTTGGGGGGCGGTGTCAGCACGGTACTGACATCTCAAAAGTACTAGTGAGAAATCTCAAAAGTGACTCCATCCTATTCCTCCTCTCCTCCCCTCTCTTCATAGCCGGTGTTTGAGTCTAACACCCTCTCCCCCTTCTCCCCCCTCCCCCACCACACCCCCACAGTCGGTGTTCGAGCAGATAGTCCGCCCGGTGCCGCCCAAGCCGAACGAGTTCTTCCTGCCGGGCCGCACGTCGTTTGTCTTTGACATGGATGACGAGTTCCGGAATGAAATTCCCACCACCGTGCACCGCAGCAAGGCCGATTGCCCTGCTCCACAGGTGCGTTTAGCTTCCACGTATATATGGATGTGTGAGTGCACTCCTTGCCTGTATGTCTATGACATGGATGACGAGTTCCGGAATGAAATCCCCACCACCGTGCACCGCAGCAAGGCCGACTGCCCTGCTCCCCAGGTACGTGTCAGTTTCTTTCAGATGTGTAGGGGCATTCCCTGCCAGCATGGGATGTATGCACTGCTCTGTTTGTCTTTGACATGGACAATGAGTTTCGCAGCGAGATCCCAACCACTGTCCACTGCAGCATGGCCGACTGTCCCTCTCCCCAGGTACGTCTCACTTTCTCTCGGATGTGTGGTGGGACTCCTCGCCAGCATGGGATGTATGCATATGCGTTGCTCTGTTTGTCTATGACATGGACGGCGAGTTTTGGAGTGAAATCCCCACCACCGTGCACCGCAGCAAAGCTGACTGCCCTGCTCCCCAGGTGCGACCAACCAGTGACGTATTCTTGGTATCAGATGCACACACATGCATGTAGGTGTGCTGTTCAGTTCTGTTTGTGTTTGGCATGGATGACGAGTTTCAGTCAGAGCGAGATCCCCACCACCGTGCACTGCAGCAAGGCCGACTGCCCGCCTCGCCAGGTACGTCGCTCTTCTCCCCGGCTTTGGATCGATCTATAGGTAGGTGCTGCATTTACTGTCAGTGGAATGAGCATTTGACATGGACGGCAAGTTTCAGAGCGAGATCCCCACCACCGTGCACTGCAGCAAGGCCGACTGCCCCCCTCGCCAGGTGAACCCAGCCTGGAATTTCAGTGCTATGCTAATATAATTATTGTTATTATAAGTATAAATGCTATTTCATTCGTACATCTATTCATTTTTATGTTTAACAGCATGTAGGATGAATGATGTAGTAACATCACTAGACGCCCCTGTGTTGGACAGCGTCTGTGAGGGAAGGACAAGGGTAGTGGCTAGCTGTCCAACGTCGCTAGTCACTATCCTTTCCCTTCCCGCATCCTCCACATCCTCTTTGCTTTCCTCCCCATCTCTCCTCCTTTTCTCTTCCTTTCTCTCATCCCACCCACCCACTCCACAGGACTTCGTATCGAGTCTTTAGACGCCCCAGTGTTGGACAGGTAGGGACTTGTGGCTCGAGGCATCATCCTAATGCTTCCGTCGCCCTCTCGGCGTGTTCCTCCCTTCTCCCATCCCTCTCATTCACTCCACAGGACTTGGTATCCGCCGCACAGGACGCCCCAGTGTTGGATAGAGTCACCCACGTCATCTCCTATCTGCGGTTGGGATCAAGCGCAAAGGTATGATGGCTTTTTCTTCATGCAAGAGGTGCAAATCTACAGGACCTGACTCAATTAATGTTGTGACGCCCCAGTGTTGGATAGAGTCACCCACGCTATCTCGTACCTGCGGTTGGGATCAAGCGCCAAGGTATGTTTTCAAGTCGACTAAAAAACAGGATCTTTAGCTTCACACGAGAGGTGCCTCGAAAAGAGAGTCACCCACCCACATCATCTCCTACCTGCGGTTGGGATCAAGCGCCAAGGTAAGATTTCGTTTGCTTCACACAAGAGGTGCCTCAAAAGAAAAGAGTCACCCACGTCATCTCGTACTTGCGATTGGGATCAAGTGCCAAGGTGTGAATTCTTTCGTGTCACTAAGTGCGTATGCTAGATGTGGTTTAGCTTGTGTTGGCACTCCCGTTGCCCCTCCCTCTCCTCTCATTGTTACGTGTGAGGATGTATATGCATATTTGTTTATCTGTTGCCCCCTTTGTTCTCTAGCATGGAACCATATCGGACACTTCCTCCCCACCCCGAACTCACTTTTCTCTTTCTCTTTCGTTTGGTGGTATGACATCACAGGCTCACAAGAAGAAGAAAAAGGACAAGGACAGCAACAGGGGTAAGGCCAGGCCAGCTTATTATAGTCTTCACGGTCGCTAGCTAGCTGGATTCCCTCCTTCCCTCTAGTCTGCAAGTTTTCTGTGTTGCTCCAATTCCCAGTTGCTAGCGAGCCGGGCACACTCATGCCTACCAAGAGATTTTAGAAAGGTTGTGTAGGAGTTTGGTCTCGACCTTTCATCTTTTGAACAGGGTGACGATACTACTTCTTACTGTCAATTCTCTCCGCGAGAGTTTCATTCCAAACTGCTGCTTGATGTCTTTGCTTCTTCCCGTCCTGTCTCCCTCTCTCCCTCCCTCTCCAGTCCTGGTTCCCGATATTCTTCCTCCCAAGCCCTCTCTGCCCTCTGCCAACCTCTTTTAATCGTTTGTGCCCTCCCCCTCCTTCCTCCCTCTCTCCCCCGCTCTCTTCCTCCCTCTCTCCCTCCCACTCCAGTCCTGGTTCCCGGTATTCTTCCTCCCAAGCCCTCTCAGCCCGCAGCCGACCTCCCATCCTCCCAACCTGCTGCACACACCCGAACCGAAGCTGCTGCTGAAAATGGTGGCGCTGCTGCTGGTAATGCTGGTGGGAATGGCGGCATAGCAAATGGGACTGGCAGCAGCGGCGGCAGGAGGAACAGGAAGGAAGCAGCAGCAGCAAAAGCCGCCACCACAGTGGCAGCCCCTAAAAAGAAAAAGGAAGAGGAGGAGGATGACGATATTTTTGCAGATGTGGGGAAAGACTACACAGTGACTGCTAAGCCTAGTGCCCCTGCTGCTGACAACACAGCCTCGGCAGCCACATCAGCCTCAGCAGCAGCTGGAGCGGCAGCAGGAGTTTCTGGTGGTGCTGCTGCCGCAAGTGCTCCTCGCCCTGCTTACTTTGACGTACCGAGTGGCATTGCGGAAGCGGTCGCACATGCCGCTGCTGCTGCAGCCGCCGCTGCTGCTGCTAGTGGTGCTCCTGCTGCTCTGCCCCCGCCTCCGCCTCTGCTCCCGCCTGCTGCTGCCGATGATGCGGATATGGATATGGATGAGGATGATGGTGCCATGCCGCCTCCTCCACCCCCACCTCTTCCACATGACATGGTAAGACCCTTTTCTCCCTCCCCCGTCTCTCCCAGCGGGTTCCTCTGCTCCCTCCTCCACTGCTCCCTCGTGCTGCTCTGCCCCCGCCTCCTCCACTGCTCCCACCTGCTGCTGCTGATGATGCGGATATGGATATGGATGACGATGATGGTGCCATGCCTCCTCCTCCCCCGCCTCTCCCACATGACATGGTAAGACCGTCTTTTCCCTTTCGTCTCTCCTGCTCCTCTGCCCCCGCCTCCTCCACTGCTCCCACCTGCTGCTGCTGATGATGCGGATATGGATATGGATGACGATGATGGTGCCATGCCTCCTCCTCCTCCCCCGCCTCTCCCACATGACATGGTAAGACCGTCTTTTCCCTTTCGCCCTCTGCCCCCGCCTCCTCCACTGCTCCCACCTGCTGCTGCTGATGATGCGGATATGGATATGGACGATGATGATGGTGCCATGCCTCCCCCTCCTCCCCCGCCTCTCCCACATGACATGGTACGACCTTGTTTGTTTTTTTCCGTTTTTTCTCCTGACATGGTAAGTCCTTCTGCCGTCTTGTGCTCTTCTGATCCACCGCTCGCTTCCTCCTTCCAGTGTTTTTGCCTCCCGCGCTTACTGTTGAAAGTAGTTGGTTTCGAACCGCAGCAAGCCTTCTAAGAGTTTACGAACGATCGATAAAACTAATTCTACTAATCTGAAAAAGCGAGAGAAGTCGTAAGCAAAAAGGTCTCAAGTCAGAACGCCAGACACATAGGCCCAGATGTCGCGTGCGAACGCGTTTCGGCCAACTAAGGCCTTCTGCCCTCTTGTGCTCCTCCGATCCACCGCTCGCTTCCTCCTTCCAGTGCTTTTGGTGTGACTTTTGAGAATTATCTAAAGTCACTCCTGACATGGTAAGGCCTTCTGCCCTCTTGTGCTCCTCTGATCCACCGCTCGCTTCCTCCTTCCAGTGCTTTTGGTGTGACTTTTGAGAATTATCTAAAGTCACTCCTGACATGGTAAGGCCTTCTGCCCTCTTGTGCTCCTCTGATCCACCGCTCGCTTCCTCCTTCCAGTGCTTTTGGTGTGACTTTTGAGAATTATCTAAAGTCCCTCCTGACATGGTAAGGCCTTCTGCCCTCTTGTGCTCCTCCGATCCACCGCTCGCTTCCTCCTTCCAGTGCTTTTGGTGTGACTTTTGAGAATTATCTAAAGTCACTCCTGACATGGTAAGGCCTTCTGCCCTCTTGTGCTCCTCTGATCCACCGCTCGCTTCCTCCTTCCAGTGCTTTTGGTGTGACTTTTGAGAATTATCTAAAGTCCCTCCTGACATGGTAAGGCCTTCTGCCCTCTTGTGCTCCTCCGATCCACCGCTCGCTTCCTCCTTCCAGTGCTTTTGGTGTGACTTTTGAGAATTATCTAAAGTCCCTCCTGACATGGTAAGGCCTTCTGCCCTCTTGTGCTCCTCCGATCCACCGCTCGCTTCCTCCTTCCAGTGCTTTTGGTGTGACTTTTGAGAATTATCTAAAGTCACTCCTGACATGGTAAGGCCTTCTGCCCTCTTGTGCTCCTCTGATCCACCGCTCGCTTCCTCCTTCCAGTGCTTTTGGTGTGACTTTTGAGAATTATCTAAAGTCCCTCCTGACATGGTAAGGCCTTCTGCCCTCTTGTGCTCCTCCGATCCACCGCTCGCTTCCTCCTTCCAGTGCTTTTGGTGTGACTTTTGAGAATTATCTAAAGTCACTCCTGACATGGTAAGGCCTTCTGCCCTCTTGTGCTCCTCTGATCCACCGCTCGCTTCCTCCTTCCAGTGCTTTTGCCTCCCGCGCTGACTGCTTCTGCTTCCTCCCGTTTTTGCAGGTGGGCCCGGCCTACCCGCCAGCAGACGGCTCACGGGAAGACTATCCACCCCCTCCTCCTCGTCCTACTCCTCCCTTTCTCCTTTCGGTGCCTTTGCCTCCCACACTCACTACCCCTGCTCCCTCTTTCCGTTCCCCTTCCCTTGCTCACCAGCCCATACCCCAACTCAGCCCGGCCTACCCGCCAGCAGACGGCTCATCGGAAGACTATCCATCCACCCCCTCCTCCTCTTCCTCCCCTTCCCTGTGCTCCCCACTCTCACACTCATTTGCCTCCATCCCTCCTTTCCTCTCTCTTCTGTCCCGTTTTGCAGGTGGGACCAGCCTATCCACCAGCAGACGGCTCATGGGAAGACTACCCACCCCCTCCTCCTCTTCCTCCTCCTCCCGGCGCCCCCACTGCCCTCCCTCCCTGGCCCCCCTCTGTCCCGCCTCCAGCCCCACCCCCATCCGCCTATCCCTACCACCAACAATACCCCCCTGCTCCTCCTCCTCTTCCTCCCCATTCTGCCCCTCACTATCCCGGCTTAGCCCCTCCTCCTCCTCCTCTTCCCCCCGGTCAACATTACCCGTATGGGGGAGGAGGAGAGGGGGGTTACCCACCTCCTCCTCCTCTCCCCCCTGGAATATACCCGCCTTCCCATCTTCCTCCTCCCCCTCCTGCTTCCGCTGCAGCCCCCCCGTTTCCTCCTCCTGCTCTCGCACCAACCGAACCCGGTGGTACCGGCACTTACTTAACAGAACAGGAAAAAGGCAGGGGATTAGCGTCGGTGTTTAAGAGATTCGCTCCGGAGGAAGAGGAGGCGAGGAGGCGGGAGGGGAGGGGGAGGGCGGGGGATGGCAAGGAGAAAGGGAAGGATCCGAATGCGTTGGGGGTTGGGGGGTATGATGAGTGTTATCAGCGGGGGGATGGGGGTAGCTTTGCAGGGGAGGTTGTGGAGAGTGACGAAGAGGAGGGAGATGAGCTCGCTCGGAAGGTGGAAGAAGCGAGGCAGGTGAGTGTTTTGAAGGGAGTATCCTCCTCTGTTGAGGTCAGTAAGTGTTTCCAATAGAGGTGGTGCAGGAGAGGTGGTGGAGAGTGATGAGGAGGAGGGAGATGAGCTCGCTCGGAAAGTGGAAGAGGCGAGGCAGGTGAGTGTTTCGAAGGGAGTGTCTTTTTCTGTTGAGGTCAGTCAGTGTTTCCAATAGAGGTGGTGCAGGGAGGTTGTGGAGAGTGACGAAGAGGAGGGGGATGAGCTAGCTCGGAAAGTGGAAGAAGCGAGGCAGGTCAGTACTCTGAAGGAACTCTTGTCTGGAATCTTTGTCTTTGACTTTTGAGGCGCCTCAAAAGTGGTAATGTGAGGCGCCTCAAGAGAAGTTGAAGGATCCGAATGCTCTGGGGGGAGGGGAGTATGAGGAGTGCTATCAGCGGGGGGATGGGGGGAACTTTGCAGGAGAGGTTGTGGAGAGTGACGAGGAGCAGGGGGGTGAGCTGGCTCGGAAAGTGGAAGAAGCGAGGCAGGTGAGTCCCTCAAAGGGATCCGACTGCGGTGTGGGGAGAGGGGGGTATGACGAGTGCTATCAGCGGGGGGATGGGGGGAATTTTGCAGGGGAGGTTGTGGAGATTGATGAGGAGGAGGGAGACGAGTTGGCTCGGTAAGTGGAAGAGGCGAGGCAGGTCAGTATTCCGATGGAGCCCCTGTTTCGACTCTTGTTTTCAGGGGTGTAATGCGAGATGTGATGAGCTGGCTCGGAAAGTGGAAGAAGCAAGGCTGGTCAGTATCTCGAAGGGACTTCTGTTTGGACTCTTGTTTTGAGGGCCGTGACTCTTAAGGACAAGGAAACGGGACAGAGAGGCCGTACCCCTCCCTTATCCAACCCCTCCCCCTTCCCCCTCTTCCCCCAATCCACCAGCTGGCTCAGGTACAGGATATGTTTCATATGGATGAGGATGATTGATGGTGCTGGTGCTGATACCTGTGCATCTCTCCCACTCCCCCACCCCACCCATCCCAATCCACCAGCTGGCTCAGGTGCAGGACATGTTTCATGGGGACGATGATGATGATGTTGGTGCATCAAAGGACAAGGAACGGGACAGATACACCACACCCCCCTGTATCCCACCCCACCCATCCCAATCCACCAGCTGGCTCAGGTGCAGGACATGTTTCATGGGGACGATGATGATGATGTTGGTGCATCAAAGGACAAGGAACGGGACAGATACACCACACCCCCCTGTATCCCACCCCACCCATCCCAATCCACCAGCTGGCTCAGGTGCAGGACATGTTTCATGGGGACGATGATGATGATGTTGGTGCATCAAAGGACAAGGAACGGGACAGATACACCACACCCCCCTGTATCCCACCCCACCCATCCCAATCCACCAGCTGGCTCAGGTGCAGGACATGTTTCATGGGGACGATGATGATGATGTTGGTGCATCAAAGGACAAGGAACGGGACAGATACACCACACCCCCCTGTATCCCACCCCACCCATCCCAATCCACCAGCTGGCTCAGGTGCAGGACATGTTTCATGGGGACGATGATGATGATGTTGGTGCATCAAAGGACAAGGAACGGGACAGATACACCACACCCCCCTGTATCCCACCCCACCCATCCCAATCCACCAGCTGGCTCAGGTGCAGGACATGTTTCATGGGGACGATGATGATGATGTTGGTGCATCAAAGGACAAGGAACGGGACAGAGAGGCCGCAGACAAGGGCACAGGCGGTGGCAGGAGGTCGAAGCAGGGGCAGGAGGGCGAGGGGAGGAAGGGGAGGAAGAAGGAGAAGGATCGGCAGCAGAAGCTGAACAATGAGCTGAACCAGATCAACAAGATTATCGAGAGGAAGAAAAGGGAGGCTGCGGGAGAGGTGGTGGAAGAGGAGGAGGAGTATGGGGATGAGGATGGAGGGCCTTATAAGAAGTCCCGATACTAGCTGTTTAGCAAGAGAAAGGAGAAGGCAAAGGAGGAGGAGAAGAAGCAGCAGCAGAAGCTAAACGATGAGTTGAATCAGATCAGCAAGATTTTTGAGAGGAAAAAGAGGGAAGCGGCTGGGGAGGTTGTGGGAGATGAAGAGGAGGAGTATGGGGATGAGGATGGAGGGCAGTATAAGAAGTCCCGGTACTTGGCACGTAGCAGGGAGGGGGAGGAGGAGAAGGAGCAGAACCAGAAGCTGAGTGGTGGGGCAAGAGGAGTATGGTGATGGGACTATGGGGATGGGAGTATGGGGATGGGAGTATGGGGATGGGAGTATGGGGATGGGAGTATGGGGATGGGAGTATGGGGATGAGCATGGAGGAGGGCCAAAAACTCCCGATATTTGCATGTAGCAGGAGGGAGAAGTGTGTTGTGAGATGAAGTGGCTGGCTGGTAAAGAGGAAGAGGGAGGGAGTTGGTGTGTGAGGCCGCTGGGGAGGTGATGGGGAGTTGAAATGGAAGGTGGTGGGTGAGGTGGTTGGGTGGGAGGAGTATCCCCTTAGAAGGAGGTTGGCTGGTTGTTCACGTGGATAGGAAGGGAAGGGAGGAAGGGTTGTTCCACTCGTGTGAAAGGCAGGACGGTGATAGTGCGCTTTCTTGGAGTTCGAGTTCTTCCATCATTAGTCTATCTGGGCTGTTGCTATTAATTTGCATGCTGCTTTGTGAGTAGATGCGAAATTCTCTTTTCAGTATATTTTCTCTTAGTAACATGCTGCGGGAACGGGATGCTCGTTTGATACGGTACACCGGTACATGTCGGTCGAACCCGCTCAGACTGGTGAGGTAAACTCTAACCATATTTTGTCCATCTAATGCTGACAGACAAACACCCTCAACGCCCCTGCTCTAACATCAGCATTCCAAATCACTGGTCCCTCCGGCTTTGCTGCAAGATTCAAGAGCTTTAGACAGTGGTAGCTCCCACCCCCTCCCCTCCACCTCCCCCTCCTGCTGCTGCTGCAAGTTGTCGTTCCCGCCACTCCCTTGCTGTAGCAGCACCTGCCTTCCATCTCGCCCGCCTCTCCTCATCCCTTGGCTTTGCTGCAAGACTGAAGAGCTTTAGACAGTAGCGCCCATCCCTTCCCCTCCTGTTGATGCTCCTGCTGCTGCTGAAAGATGCCTTTCCCGCCACTCCCTTGCTCTCGCAGCACCTGCCTTCCATCTCGCCCGTCTCTCTGCACCCCTCACCTCTGCTGCAAGTCTGTAGGGCTTTAGGCAGTAGCGCCCGTCCCTTCCCCTCCTCCTTCTCCCCCTCCTGCTGCTGCTAGTTGTCTTTCCCGCCATTCCCTTGCTCTCGCAGCACCAGCCTTCCATCTCGCCCGCCTCTCCTCACCCGTCACCTCTGCTGCTAGCCTGTAGGGCTTTAGGCAGTCCCTCCCGTCCCTTCCCTTCCTCCTTCTCCCCCCCCTGCTGCTGCAAGTTGTCTTTCCCGCCACTCCCTCGCCCTCGCAGCGCCAGCCTTCCATCTCGCCCGCCTCTCCTCATCTCGTCGCTTCAAAGCTTCCTTCTGCTGCTCCTTAACCTTCTGCCACTGCTCCTGCTTGCGTCAATGGGAGGAGGGATAAGGAGGAATGGGAGAGGGCAGGGAGAAGCGGTTGAGCCTACTGCCTTCCATCTCGCTTGTCTCTCTGCATCTCGTCTCTAGCCTCCCTCTTCTGCTCCTTCACCTTCTGCCACTGCTCCTGCTTGCAACAAATGGAGAGAAGGGGAAGGAAATGGATACAAGAATCGCATGCTTCCTTTCAAGGCATTCTACCAGTGCACCCCACACACTTACCCCATTACCCACTCACCAGCCCGATGAAAATCACTTTTGAGAATTTTCAAAAGGAAATGGATACAAGAATCGCATGATTCCTTTCAAGGCATTCTACCAGTGTACCCCACACACATACCCCATTACCCACCCACCAGCCTGCCTGCCCTACTTTTGAGGCGCCTCAAAAGGCATTCTACGTGTACCCCACACTCTTACCCCATTACCCACCCACCAGCCCGCCTGCCCGCCCGCCTGCCCGCCCACAGACCCACCCACCCATCAACTTACCCCCCCTACCACGCACCCACCCACCTTGATGAACAGCTGGCGCTGCAGCATGCGGTGCCTCTGGTTCCTGCCGCCCACGCTGCCAGCATTGGGCTGAGGTCACCCATGCACTGCACCCACCCACCCACCCACCCATACAACTCCCCTCTCACACACCCTGATGAACAGCTGGCGCTGCAGCATGAAGTGCCTCTGGCTCCTGCCGCCCACGCTGCCAGTATTGGGCTGAGACACTCCCAACCACCCATGCACCCACCCACCCATGCACCCACCCACTCACCCATGCAACTCCATGCCCTCTCCCCCTCCTCCCCCATCCACCCACACCCACCTTAATGAACAGCTGACGCTGCAGCATGCGGTGCATCTGGTTCCTGCCTCCCACGCTGCCAGCATTGGGCTGAGACGCTGGCACCTGCTCTGCTCCCTGCGGCACCCTCACCATCACCCATGGGTCTGGAGGGTTGATCGGGGAGAGGGATGAGGGGATGAGGGGGGAGGGAAGGCAGGAAAAACAAGGGGTGGTAAGGGCGAAAGGAAAGAGGAGAGGAGATTGAAAGGGCCGCCTCTGGTTCCTGCTGCCCACACTGCCAGCATTGGGCTGCGACGCCGGCACCTGCTCTGCTCCCTGCGGCACCCTCACCATCACCCATGGGTCTGGAGGGTTGATCGGTGAGGGTAGAAAAAGGGGGAAGACGGGGCGGAAGCGGAAGAAAAGGAGGAAAGGGAAGGGGGGACGGAAAGAGGGGAGGAAGAGGAGGGGAAGGGGAGGAAGGAGGTGGAGGAGGAGAGGAGGTTGAAAGGGCCGCCTCTCGTTCTTGCCGCCCACACTGCCAGGATTGGGCTGTGATGCCGGCGCCTGCTCTGCTTTTGAGTCGACTCAAAAATAGGCTGCCAGAATCGGGCTGTGATGCCGGCGCCTGCTCTGCTCCCTGCAGCACTCTCACCATCACCCAGGGATCTGTGAATAGGTGGGAGAGAAAAGGGGAGAAGATGGGGGAAGTGGGGAGAAGATGGGGGAAGCGGGGAGGAAATGGGGGGAGTGGGGAGGAAATGGGGGAAGTGGGAAGGAAATGGGGGAAGTGGGAAGGAAATAGGGGAAGCGGGGAGGAAATGGGGGGAGTGGGGAGGAAATGGGGGAAGTGGGAAGGAAATGGGGGAAGTGGGAAGGAAATAGGGGAAGTGGGGAGGCTGGGGGAAGTGGAGGAAATGGGGAAGTGGGAAGGAAATGGGGGAAGTAGAGGAAATGGGGGAAGTGGGAAGGAAATTAGGGGAAGTGGGAAGGAAATAGGGGAAGTGGGGAGGAACTGGGGGAAGTGGGGGAGATGGGGGAAGTGGGGAGGAAAGGGGGAACTGGGGACAAAATGGGGGAAGTGGGGAGGAGATGGGGGAAGTGGAGAGATGTGCTAGTGGCTTCAGATTGGACTCATACGTCCCACGCAGTACAGTGGCAGATACACAAGCCACACTCTCAGGATGTGCAATGTGTCAGTTTTCTATTCCACACTCTCATTGCTCCCAGGCCGTCCATTGACACGTCACACGCCGGTTGAATGAGTTGAACATGGGTTGAAGCAGTTGAATCAAGTGTCGAAACTGTGTGAGAGTGAGTGAGGCATGGCAATGGATGCCCTGAGAATCATGAGAGTGTGGAACAGAAAACTGACACAGCTCACATCTTAGGAGAGTGGCTTGTGTATCTCTAAGAAATACAGAAATTGGGGAAATGGAGAGGAGTTGGGGGAAATGGGGCTTTGGGTTGACACGATCGTATGTGAATCCCACCCCTGTGGTCGCTCCATGAAACATCTAGGGCGGCGCAACCCTGCAGATGCTGCAATCCGCGCTGCGTAGTGCACACCTCCCAGCCGCCCAGTTTATTTCCCCATCCCCCCCATCCAGGGAGTGTACCCCCCCCCCCCCCCCCCCCCCCCCCCCCCCCCCCCCCCCCCCCCCTCGCTCGGTTAATTCTCCCCATTTGCGCAGAGTATTCCCCGCTAAGGCGCAACGTGCTTCCCCCATCCGCGCAATTCATTCCCCCTATCCGCGCAACTGATCCCCCATCCGCGTACCTCCTCGCCACTTCTTCGCTCGCTTAGCGAATCCACGCGCTATAACGAGCCGCGACGCGCCGATGGGATCAGACACCGCCACGTGTTGCTGAATAGGCGCGGGAGCAAGTCCACGTGTCAAGAGGGACTGTGCTAGTGGAGAGGAGGTGCAGAATGACCTGGAAGATACTGCGGCCGTCGAATAGTGCGGCGGAGATCGCGGCGACGATTGCGGCGGCGGTTGCAGCTGGACGTTCGAGAGGAAAGACGTCAAACGAGAAACGGAATGGCTGTTGCTCAAGGCAGCGGCGGTGGTGGCGGTGGCGGTGGTCGGAATGTTGGCGAGTGGGACGAACGGCGTAGATGCGCTAGCGCCAGCGGCGGGTAGGTATGAAGACTGAAACGCACGGAAGAATCGCGACGCGAGCGATCCGCCGCCTCCTCGCATCTTGACCGGCCCGACACAGACGCAAAAGATGCGACGCTCAGATAGTCGCTCAGCCGCCGATTACCGTCAATCTGGCGACGACGGTGAATGGGGAGGTATGGCGTGAGCAAATAAATAATTAAGAGCTTGAAAGTCGTTTTGGACGTCGTTAAAAGATCGAGTGTAGGTGGAGCCCATCATTTACATCGAATCAGACAATTGCGGAGTGGACCCTCTAACCCGAACCCTGGAATTGGAGAATGGGCTGGATAGGAATAAGGAATGGGCTTGTTTTCCCAAGTCGCGGGCAAGGAACAGCTTCAGTCTTGAAGGTTTGCAGACTTCAACCCCCACGACTTTGCGTTTGCGTGCTGCCCCAACGTTTCCAAACCTCCATTCACGTTTCCTCCTTGCGCAAATTTCTTGGAGCCAATCTCAAACACGGCTCATGCCCGATTGGTTACGCCATCCCACGCCGCCAACGTGCTAGGTTTGCTTTGCGAACCTCGGTTTTGTCGAATTGGTTCCCAGAGGCTCGGGTACCGGACTGAACCAGATTGGAGGTGCGAAATATCCCGCCAAAACCGTGTCGAAGCTGAGCCCAGGCTGTGCCGAAGCTATTTCACCTAATCAACAACCTCCATTTTCCTTGCCTACCTTTCTGACACCCTTCTCTAGCTAGTTGAGTTTGTAGCAGATGCATTGAATACTGGGCCTTCTGAAATAGTTAGCAGAAGTAGCTCACTTCCACGTTGTGTTTTCTGCCAGTCGATTCCGCTTTTGGTCGCATTTCAACTCTGTCAGGGCGATCGTTTTGGGTTGTTCGGAGCCTTGCGTCGCGATAGGCAGGGTTCCTCATTCGTTTGACGCGGTCAAACCGTTGTGATAGTGTGCCGGAGTGGCAGTATGCCGAGTCGTTCCACGTTATTCAGTCTGGTTCTCTAGTTTTTTACCGACCAGTTTTTCCTCTCTCTCAAGCTTAAAGTAATTTGGTTTACAAGTCTGAACTTCAATCATGGCGGTAGACACAGCTAGAGAAAGAGCTTTGCAGAAGCGGATAAAGGAACTGGAAGCAGGTTAGTTTCTCTTGAGCCGATGGTTTCCAGTCCCTCTTCCTTCTCTTGGCAGTGACGAGGAAACAGTTAGGTTATGATTAACGTTAAGTAGGTCTTGCATATATGGCACTTGTGCGTTCCATTTTTTGTTTTTTTATTGTTGATAAAAAATTCCGCTTCCAGTTGCTTCTCCCTCGTTTCGCCTCTTCTCACCGCATTAGCAAAAAAGAAGCCCTCACTTTCTCCATACATGCAACCCTGATCCTTCCTTCCGCCGTTTCCCCTTACAAATCCTTCTGCATCAGTCGTACGCGTGGCAGAGCGCGATGAGCTGCTGCATAAGCTCGTGCTTCATTGCTTCCTCGCTCCTAGAGACGTCTCATAAATCACCTGTTTCTGCATCCATCATACACGTTGAGCGCGATGAGCTGTTACATGTCCTCTACCCTCATTGCTTCCTCGCTCCTTGCCCTTCCCTCCATCCCTTACATTCGGTATCAGAGCGCGACGAGCTTCAGCGAGACCTGGAGGGGATGTGTCTGCAGCAGGTGGGGAGTGCTGGAGCCGAAGACGCTATGGCTCGGATGCAAGCGAGGAGGTGAGCCGCAAGTAAAAAAATAAAAGAAAGAACGAAGAAAAATCTAGAGATTGAGCACTGGGAGTTTTGACACAATGGGTTGGTTTCGAGAGAGGGTGAATGGGGACTGGACGGTTCCAAATTGTAGCAGGACTGCTTGTTACAATTTTGTTGTAATACGACTTAATTAACAGAGCTGTTTACCTCTGTTCCTTTCAAACCTCGTTGATGGTGGCCAACGTTCATGTTTTAGATTACGATTAACCTGTCATTTTCCGATTCTTACGTTTCAGGGTGGCCAACCTAGAAGCGGAGCTTGCCACGTGTCGCCACACGATTGCGTCACTGGAGATGGAGATTGCGGACGTGCGGCATGACTTGCAGGACGCGGAGCAGAAGAAGGTGCGAGATGGGGAAGCGACCCTTTTTTTTTGCTTTTGTTATTTCTTAGTCTGTTTTTTGTCTGTCATAAATGTCGTTATATCATGCCTTCATCAACCTTCTCTCCTATGCCGTTTGCCTGGTTTTTGCAGGCAGGAGCAGCAGCCATGTGGAAAGAGGAGCACAGCAAGGTGCGTCGACCATGTTAGAGCGCATGGCATGGCAGGGCAGGGCAGAGAATGCCATGGCGGGCATGGCATGGCATGGCATGGCATGGCATGGCATGGCATGGCATGGCATGGCATGGCAGGACATTGCATGGGATGGGCATGGCATGGCATGGGATGGCATGGCACAGCATGTCATGGCAGGATATGGCATCGTATGAGATGGCAGGGCGTCACATGTAATGTGGTGACATACTTCATGCTCGTGTTATTGGCCCATCCTTTCCGTTGCCTCAAGCCCTCTCGTCTCCCTTCCCTTCCCCATCCTTCATCATCCTTGCCGCACCAGCGCACGGCAGCAGAAGAGGAGGTGCGGTCTTACTAGTGGCAGGCAACGGCAGCACCCGATTCGCCTCCCAACCCCCCACCCCCATTTCTCCCCCAATCTCTCTTGTTTACCCACCAGCGCACGGCAGCAGAGGAGGAGGTGCGGTTTTACCAGCGACAAGCAGCCACAGCTTTGGAGCAGCGGGACCAAGTGACTCTGGAGCTGGAGCAGCTGAGAACCGCCAAGGCGGAGGGAGAGGCGCGATGCAAAGGAGAAATAGAGCAGCTGCGGAAGGAGAAAGCGAGTGCTGCTGAGAAAAGCAGAGCGGAGATTGAGAAGCTGATGAAGGAGAAGTGGGATTTGCTAGAGAGGGTGAAGGAGGCGGGTAGGCATGCCGCAGCGTTGGTTAAGCAGCAGGAGCTGGGGGATGAGAAGATTGAGGAGGCGGAGAGGGGGAGGCGGGAGGCGGATAGGGGAAGGGAGGAGGCGGAGAGGGAGCGGGAGGAGGAGAGGAGGGAGAGGGAGAGGGTGGAGAGGGAGAGGGAGGAGGAGAGGAGGGAGAGGGAGAGGGTGGAGAGGGAGAGGGAGGAGGAGAGGAGGGAGAGGGAGAGGGTGGAGAGGGAGGGGAAGGAGGAGGAGGGGAGGTTGAGGGAGGAGATAAGCAGGTTGAGAGAGGAGGGAGCGAGGTTGAAAGAGGAGGCGGGGAGACTGACGGAGGAGGTGGAGAGGAGGAGGAACGGTGCGAGGGAGTGGGAGGCGGTGGGGAGGGAATCAGAGGGGCAGGTGACTCGTGCAAAAGCGGAAGCGGCATCGATAGCTGCAGCTGCTGCTGCTGCGGTGGAGGCAGAGCGAGAGAAAGGGGTGAGGGAGAGAGAAGAGATGCAGAAACGACTGGTGGAAGTGCAGAGGCAGCTGCAGAGAGAGCGGGAGGAGAGGAGGAGGAGGGGAGGTGGAGGAGGAGAAACGGGAACGGCCAGAATGCCAAAGAACATGCCTCAAGAAAGGGGAACTGAGGAGTTGTCCCCGAAAGAACCAGGCTCGGATGATCTAGAAAAGGATTTCTTCTCTAGCATGGGTTTCTTGGCTTATGGTGGCAAGGACCCATATGGAGCATCAAAGGACCCGTATGGGACGGCGAGGGATCCGTATGGGACGGCGAGGGACCCGTATGGGGAGGAGCCGACGGAGGAGATGCTGTCTCAGGCGATGAGGGAGAAGGTGGAGGCGCTCGTGATGCTGGCCGCGGAGGAAGAGCGGCACCTGCGGGACTCGCAGCTGGTGGGGAGCCTGAGGGAGACCATTGCTGGGCTGAACGCTACGTTGGGGCAGGTGAGAACTGCTGGGGTAGGGGAAGACTGGGGTAGGGGAGGACTGGGGTAGGGGAGGACTGGGGTAGGTGAGGACTGGGGTAGGGGAGGACTGGGGTAGGTGAGGACTGGGGTAGGGGAGGACTGGGGTAGGGGAGGAATGTGGTAGGGGAGGACTGGGGTAGGTGAGGACTGGGGTAGGGGAGGACTGGGGTAGGTGAGGACTGGGGTAGGTGGTACCTGAAAGCATCAGAGTGACAGGGGCGATGAGGGAGAAGGTGCAGGCGCTCGTGATGCTGGCCGCGGAGGAAGAGCGGCACCTGCGGGACTCGCAGCTGGTGGGGAGCCTGAGGGAGACCATTGCTGGTCTCAATGCTACGTTGGGGCAGGTGAGAACTGCTGGGGTAGGGGAGGACTGGGGTAGGGGAGGACTGGGGTAGGGGAGGACTGGGGTAGGTGAGGACTGGGGTAGGGGAGGACTGGGGTAGGTGAGGACTGGGGTAGGGGAGGACTGGGGTAGGGGAGGACTGGGGTAGGTGAGGACTGGGGTAGGGGAGGACTGGGGTAGGTGAAGACTGGGGTAGGGGAGGACTGGGGTAGGTGAGGACTGGGGTAGGGGAGGACTGGGGTAGGGGAGGACTGGGGTAGGTGAGGACTGGGGTAGGGGAGGACTGGGGTAGGTGAGGACTGGGGTAGGGGAGGACTGGGGTAGGGGAGGACTGGGGTAGGGGAGGACTGGGGTAGGTGAGGACTGGGGTAGGTGAGAACTGGGGTAGGTGAGAACTGGGGTAGGTGAGAGCTGGGGTAGGTGAGAACTGGGTTAGGTCCCAGGTGCAGAGAAAGTATTGGCGCTGATGCAGCTGGCAGACACGGCAGCAGAGTAGACTGTGGCTGAGGGATGAGATGAGATCTCTTGTGCCGGTGTCTGTGTCCGTCTCTCTCTCTCTCTCTGTCCGTCTCTCTCTCTCTCTGTGTCGGTCTCTCTGTGTGTCCGTATCTCTGTGTGTCCGTCTCTCTCTGTGTGTCCGTCTCTCTCTGTGTGTCCGTCTCTCTCTGTGTGTCCGTCTCTCTCTCTGTGTCCGTCTCTCTCTCTGTGTCCGTCTCTCTCTCAAGCGGTCCGTGTATTGAATCCGAGCAAGGTACAGACATGCACAAGGATATAGGAAGCAATGCATCTCAGCTTCTAAAACACCCACATCCTACCTACCCTCCTTCACCCTCTAAGGCAGCTCCAATGCCGGCTCCAGGATGGCAAGGCAGTCCCCGAGGGACATTCCTTCGCCCGGCAGTGCCACAGGTGGGTTCTCCACCTGAGCCGCGTAGTTGCACTTCGTCATGAAGCTCACTGACTGCGCCCGCTGCAGCGCCACGGACCACCGCTGGCGGAACTGGTGCAGCAGCTTTGTTGCCTGGTAAGATGAGGGGGCCGCGTTGAAGAGCCGGCGCGCGCCGGTGTCGGCCAGAAGTTTGAGGAATTGGGGGACCTCCGCGCAAGGACAGCCATAGGTATCAACGGCAAGGGGGAAGAACCCGACCCACGAGGCCGTTGAGCCCTCGTAGTCGGAGATCTTCTTCTCCGCCGCCTCCCTGGCCGCCCACCCCCTGCCCTTGACCGCGTTGGGATCCCGTGTGCTGATGGGGTCCGTGATGGTCACGTCCCCTATCCACACCGCTCCTGAGGACTTGTCCCGGATCGCAATGTCGGCTTTCTTCAGAGTGACGGGGCAGAACGTAGTCGTTTCGCTGTGAGTCATGAAGTCAGCGTCGGCGGCCATGTGTACACACGCATCGCGCAACTCATTGTGCCCAGGTACGTGAAATCTCGGCCTCCCCCCGTGGGTGGCGAATGCCGCAGGCAGTCAGCAACGTCTCAAACAGCTTTTTACCCCAGTCTGACCACTCCTCGACTGGCAGGGCCGAAAGCGGCGTGGTGCGGGCGACGTAAGCGATCCGCCGTGAGATGCACCGTGAGAGCAGGAGGGAAGCCAGCTGCGGCTCCATCCGCGCGATTAAGGGCAGCGGCACTCCCATGGTGTCGAGGCTGGCACGTAGGAACGCGGCGGTTGCGTCGCTGCCACCGATGAAGCTGCCAAGCACCTTCACCTCATCTTCTGTGAAAGGTACGCCCACTGGAAGCGCTGCTCCCTGCTGGCCTGCCTGAGACCAGGCCGCGCACTTGGCTGGGTTGTGGCGCAGCCCGATCTCCCCGAGGTTTCCTGTGAAGTCCTCAAATGCCGCCGCGCACATGGCTGCATCCCCAAGAAAAGTTACGTCGTCCGCAAAGGCAAGACAGACCACGGAGGGGAAGCTGAGCGCCGTTTTCGTCTGCGCTGGGTGTATGGCGGCAGCGAACAGCAACGGGCCGAGGGGATCTCCCTGCCGCACCCCGGTCTCGCTCAGCAGAGGTGGGTGTGAGAAGCCAGCGTCCAGACATAGAGCCGAAGGAAGGCCGTACAGCAGTTTAACTAACGGTAAAAGTGAAGCGAGAGAGGAGTCCCGAAGAGATGTGATGATGGCGTCGCGGTTAACGCTGTTAAAAGCGTTCGCCAGATCAGCCTGTAGGACCAAAGCTCCTGTGTTCACCGTGAGGTACGTGCGTGTGATGTGGATAATCGCCTCCGCCCCGCCAGGGACTGCCACGCCGAACTGGTGCGGTAGGAAGAATACACGAGCGGCCCCTGCAGTCAAAGTAAGCGCCGTCTTAGCTGCGAGGCGTGTTATGCTCTCGCCGATGGCAATTGGTCGCGTCCCCCCATCAGGCTTGCTCAGGGCAATCAATCTTGAGGCGGTGAGGAGCTCAGCCACTGCAGGAGGTAATTTTCCTGTTAATATCATGTTGACTAGCGCGTGCAGGTGTTTCCCAACGGAGTGGTTGATCAGCGCTGCATCGCGTAAGTGTTCGAAAGTTGTTCCTGAGGGGCCCGCTCCCACCCCCATCTCGCAGCTTCCCAGCACCTTGGAGAAGACTGCAAACGGTGCCGATAGGTGAGGGTCAGGTTCTGGAAAGTTCCAGTCAGGTGGGGAGGCGGGCGCAGGTGGGTGCTTGGCGCGCAGGGCCTCCAGCACAGTTGGAGAGGGGGTGCTGACTGGCGTGGCTTCAAGTGCCATCACGGCGCGTCGTAGGCTGCCACGTCGTGCCAACCCCTCTGCCCTAGCGATGACACCAATGTCATCGGGCTGGTGTCTGGGTGGTTGGGGCCACGACAGTGAACCCACTGTTTCAGTGTATAATTTGTCCCATTCTCCAGACAGAAACTGACGAAGGCGGGCACTGACAGCCTTCCAGTCAGGACGCCTAGGTGACAGCTGGCGAAGTGTTAATCGAGCGAGAAACAGGACGACCGTCCATGCAGAAGGTGAGTCTGGATATTTCGCCAAGCGCAGCAGCGGAACCAACAGAGCTGTGGCGAAAAGTTTGCGTGGGTCTGGTGGGAGGTGACGGGAAAGAGGTACGTGGCGAGAGTCGCGCAATTTCGTCAGATCCCAGGTTGACACGCTGGCGAATAGCGTGTCATCCTTGGCGAGTGATTCTGGGGATTTTTCCTCTGGGGCTTGGGTTGGGACGGGGTTACCGCCAGGTGCAGATTGATGTCCGGCCTGGCTAGGGGTCTCTCTCTCTCTGTCCGTCTCTCTCTCTCTGAGTCCGTCTCTCTGCGTGTCCGTATCTCTGTGTGACAGCAGAGAAGTTGAAGGCGCTGATGCAGCTGGCGGACACGGCAGCAGAGGCGCAGCAGTTGAGGGACGAGATGGTAACCCTTGTGTCCGTCTCTCTGTGTCGCCGCCACTCTATCTTACCCTTGCTCTCAGGTGACGGCCGAGAAGGTGAAGGCGCTGATGCAGCTGGCAGACACGGCAGCAGAGGTGCAGCAGTTGAGGGACGAGGTGGCGGCGCTGCAGCAGGAAGTGCGGAAGCGAGACGAGATCAACGCCAGAGAGTGAGTCCCTTTCTTATGCCCTACTTTTGAGTCGACTCAAAACTAGAGTGAGTCCCTTTCTTATGCCCTACTTTTGAGTCGACTCAAAACTAGAGTGAGTCCCTTTCTTATGCCCTACTTTTGAGTCGACTCAAAACTAGAGTGAGTCCCTTTCTTATGCCCTACTTTTGAGTCGACTCAAAACTAGAGTGAGTCCCTTTCTTATGCCCTACTTTTGAGTCGACTCAAAACTAGAGTGAGTCCCTTTCTTATGCCCTACTTTTGAGTCGACTCAAAACTAGAGTGAGTCCCTTTCTTATGCCCTACTTTTGAGTCGACTCAAAACTAGAGTGAGTCCCTTTCTTATGCCCTACTTTTGAGTCGACTCAAAACTAGAGTGAGTCCCTTTCTTATGCCCTACTTTTGAGTCGACTCAAAACTAGAGTGAGTCCCTTTCTTATGCCCTACTTTTGAGTCGACTCAAAACTAGAGTGAGTCCCTTTCTTATGCCCTACTTTTGAGTCGACTCAAAACTAGAGTGAGTCCCTTTCTTATGCCCTACTTTTGAGTCGACTCAAAACTAGAGTGAGTCCCTTTCTTATGCCCTACTTTTGAGTCGACTCAAAACTAGAGTGAGTCCCTTTATTATGCCCTACTTTTGAGTCGACTCAAAACTAGAGTGAGTCCCTTTCTTATGCCCTACTTTTGAGTCGACTCAAAACTAGAGTGAGTCCCTTTCTTATGCCCTACTTTTGAGTCGACTCAAAACTAGAGTGAGTCCCTTTCTTATGCCCTACTTTTGAGTCGACTCAAAACTAGAGTGAGTCCCTTTCTTATGCCCTACTTTTGAGTCGACTCAAAACTAGAGTGAGTCCCTTTCTTATGCCCTACTTTTGAGTCGACTCAAAACTAGAGTGAGTCCCTTTCTTATGCCCTACTTTTGAGTCGACTCAAAACTAGAGTGAGTCCCTTTCTTATGCCCTACTTTTGAGTCGACTCAAAACTAGAGTGAGTCCCTTTCTTATGCCCTACTTTTGAGTCGACTCAAAACTAGAGTGAGTCCCTTTCTTATGCCCTACTTTTGAGTCGACTCAAAACTAGAGTGAGTCCCTTTCTTATGCCCTACTTTTGAGTCGACTCAAAACTAGAGTGAGTCCATTTCTTATGCCCTACTTTTGAGTCGACTCAAAACTAGAGTGAGTCCCTTTATTATGCCCTACTTTTGAGTCGACTCAAAACTAGAGTGAGTCCCTTTCTTATGCCCTACTTTTGAGTCGACTCAAAACTAGAGTGAGTCCCTTTCTTATGCCCTACTTTTGAGTCGACTCAAAACTAGAGTGAGTCCCTTTCTTATGCCCTACTTTTGAGTCGACTCAAAACTAGAGTGAGTCCCTTTCTTATGCCCTACTTTTGAGTCGACTCAAAACTAGAGTGAGTCCCTTTCTTATGCCCTACTTTTGAGTCGACTCAAAACTAGAGTGAGTCCCTTTCTTATGCCCTACTTTTGAGTCGACTCAAAACTAGAGTGAGTCCCTTTCTTATGCCCTACTTTTGAGTCGACTCAAAACTAGAGTGAGTCCCTTTCTTATGCCCTACTTTTGAGTCGACTCAAAACTAGAGTGAGTCCCTTTCTTATGCCCTACTTTTGAGTCGACTCAAAACTAGAGTGAGTCCCTTTCTTATGCCCTACTTTTGAGTCGACTCAAAACTAGAGTGAGTCCCTTTCTTATGCCCTACTTTTGAGTCGACTCAAAACTAGAGTGAGTCCCTTTCTTATGCCCTACTTTTGAGTCGACTCAAAACTAGAGTGAGTCCCTTTATTATGCCCTACTTTTGAGTCGACTCAAAACTAGAGTGAGTCCCTTTCTTATGCCCTACTTTTGAGTCGACTCAAAACTAGAGTGAGTCCCTTTCTTATGCCCTACTTTTGAGTCGACTCAAAACTAGAGTGAGTCCCTTTCTTATGCCCTACTTTTGAGTCGACTCAAAACTAGAGTGAGTCCCTTTATTATGCCCTACTTTTGAGTCGACTCAAAACTAGAGTGAGTCCCTTTCTTATGCCCTACTTTTGAGTCGACTCAAAACTAGAGTGAGTCCCTTTCTTATGCCCTACTTCTGAGTCGACTCAAAACTAGAGTGAGTCCCTTTCTTATGCCCTACTTTTGAGTCGACTCAAAACTAGAGTGAGTCCCTTTCTTATGCCCTACTTTTGAGTCGACTCAAAACTAGAGTGAGTCCATTTCTTATGCCCTACTTTTGAGTCGACTCAAAACTAGAGTGAGTCCCTTTATTATGCCCTACTTTTGAGTCGACTCAAAACTAGAGTGAGTCCCTTTCTTATGCCCTACTTTTGAGTCGACTCAAAACTAGAGTGAGTCCCTTTCTTATGCCCTACTTTTGAGTCGACTCAAAACTAGAGTGAGTCCCTTTCTTATGCCCTACTTTTGAGTCGACTCAAAACTAGAGTGAGTCCCTTTCTTATGCCCTACTTTTGAGTCGACTCAAAACTAGAGTGAGTCCCTTTCTTATGCCCTACTTTTGAGTCGACTCAAAACTAGAGTGAGTCCCTTTCTTATGCCCTACTTTTGAGTCGACTCAAAACTAGAGTGAGTCCCTTTCTTATGCCCTACTTTTGAGTCGACTCAAAACTAGAGTGAGTCCCTTTCTTATGCCCTACTTTTGAGTCGACTCAAAACTAGAGTGAGTCCCTTTCTTATGCCCTACTTTTGAGTCGACTCAAAACTAGAGTGAGTCCCTTTCTTATGCCCTACTTTTGAGTCGACTCAAAACTAGAGTGAGTCCCTTTCTTATGCCCTACTTTTGAGTCGACTCAAAACTAGAGTGAGTCCCTTTCTTATGCCCTACTTTTGAGTCGACTCAAAACTAGAGTGAGTCCCTTTCTTATGCCCTACTTTTGAGTCGACTCAAAACTAGAGTGAGTCCCTTTCTTATGCCCTACTTTTGAGTCGACTCAAAACTAGAGTGAGTCCCTTTCTTATGCCCTACTTTTGAGTCGACTCAAAACTAGAGTGAGTCCCTTTCTTATGCCCTACTTTTGAGTCGACTCAAAACTAGAGTGAGTCCCTTTCTTATGCCCTACTTTTGAGTCGACTCAAAACTAGAGTGAGTCCCTTTCTTATGCCCTACTTTTGAGTCGACTCAAAACTAGAGTGAGTCCCTTTCTTATGCCCTACTTTTGAGTCGACTCAAAACTAGAGTGAGTCCCTTTCTTATGCCCTACTTTTGAGTCGACTCAAAACTAGAGTGAGTCCCTTTCTTATGCCCTACTTTTGAGTCGACTCAAAACTAGAGTGAGTCCCTTTCTTATGCCCTACTTTTGAGTCGACTCAAAACTAGAGTGAGTCCCTTTCTTATGCCCTACTTTTGAGTCGACTCAAAACTAGAGTGAGTCCCTTTCTTATGCCCTACTTTTGAGTCGACTCAAAACTAGAGTGAGTCCCTTTCTTATGCCCTACTTTTGAGTCGACTCAAAACTAGAGTGAGTCCCTTTCTTATGCCCTACTTTTGAGTCGACTCAAAACTAGAGTGAGTCCCTTTCTTATGCCCTACTTTTGAGTCGACTCAAAACTAGAGTGAGTCCCTTTCTTATGCCCTACTTTTGAGTCGACTCAAAACTAGAGTGAGTCCCTTTCTTATGCCCTACTTTTGAGTCGACTCAAAACTAGAGTGAGTCCCTTTCTTATGCCCTACTTTTGAGTCGACTCAAAACTAGAGTGAGTCCCTTTCTTATGCCCTACTTTTGAGTCGACTCAAAACTAGAGTGAGTCCCTTTCTTATGCCCTACTTTTGAGTCGACTCAAAACTAGAGTGAGTCCCTTTATTATGCCCTACTTTTGAGTCGACTCAAAACTAGAGTGAGTCCCTTTCTTATGCCCTACTTTTGAGTCGACTCAAAACTAGAGTGAGTCCCTTTCTTATGCCCTACTTCTGAGTCGACTCAAAACTAGAGTGAGTCCCTTTCTTATGCCCTACTTTTGAGTCGACTCAAAACTAGAGTGAGTCCCTTTCTTATGCCCTACTTTTGAGTCGACTCAAAACTAGAGTGAGTCCATTTCTTATGCCCTACTTTTGAGTCGACTCAAAACTAGAGTGAGTCCCTTTATTATGCCCTACTTTTGAGTCGACTCAAAACTAGAGTGAGTCCCTTTCTTATGCCCTACTTTTGAGTCGACTCAAAACTAGAGTGAGTCCCTTTCTTATGCCCTACTTTTGAGTCGACTCAAAACTAGAGTGAGTCCCTTTCTTATGCCCTACTTTTGAGTCGACTCAAAACTAGAGTGAGTCCCTTTCTTATGCCCTACTTTTGAGTCGACTCAAAACTAGAGTGAGTCCCTTTCTTATGCCCTACTTTTGAGTCGACTCAAAACTAGAGTGAGTCCCTTTCTTATGCCCTACTTTTGAGTCGACTCAAAACTAGAGTGAGTCCCTTTCTTATGCCCTACTTTTGAGTCGACTCAAAACTAGAGTGAGTCCCTTTCTTATGCCCTACTTTTGAGTCGACTCAAAACTAGAGTGAGTCCCTTTCTTATGCCCTACTTTTGAGTCGACTCAAAACTAGAGTGAGTCCCTTTCTTATGCCCTACTTTTGAGTCGACTCAAAACTAGAGTGAGTCCCTTTCTTATGCCCTACTTTTGAGTCGACTCAAAACTAGAGTGAGTCCCTTTCTTATGCCCTACTTTTGAGTCGACTCAAAACTAGAGTGAGTCCCTTTCTTATGCCCTACTTTTGAGTCGACTCAAAACTAGAGTGAGTCCCTTTCTTATGCCCTACTTTTGAGTCGACTCAAAACTAGAGTGAGTCCCTTTCTTATGCCCTACTTTTGAGTCGACTCAAAACTAGAGTGAGTCCCTTTCTTATGCCCTACTTTTGAGTCGACTCAAAACTAGAGTGAGTCCCTTTCTTATGCCCTACTTTTGAGTCGACTCAAAACTAGAGTGAGTCCCTTTCTTATGCCCTACTTTTGAGTCGACTCAAAACTAGAGTGAGTCCCTTTCTTATGCCCTACTTTTGAGTCGACTCAAAACTAGAGTGAGTCCCTTTCTTATGCCCTACTTTTGAGTCGACTCAAAACTAGAGTGAGTCCCTTTCTTATGCCCTACTTTTGAGTCGACTCAAAACTAGAGTGAGTCCCTTTCTTATGCCCTACTTTTGAGTCGACTCAAAACTAGAGTGAGTCCCTTTCTTATGCCCTACTTTTGAGTCGACTCAAAACTAGAGTGAGTCCCTTTCTTATGCCCTACTTTTGAGTCGACTCAAAACTAGAGTGAGTCCCTTTCTTATGCCCTACTTTTGAGTCGACTCAAAACTAGAGTGAGTCCCTTTCTTATGCCCTACTTTTGAGTCGACTCAAAACTAGAGTGAGTCCCTTTCTTATGCCCTACTTTTGAGTCGACTCAAAACTAGAGTGAGTCCCTTTCTTATGCCCTACTTTTGAGTCGACTCAAAACTAGAGTGAGTCCCTTTCTTATGCCCTACTTTTGAGTCGACTCAAAACTAGAGTGAGTCCCTTTCTTATGCCCTACTTTTGAGTCGACTCAAAACTAGAGTGAGTCCCTTTCTTATGCCCTACTTTTGAGTCGACTCAAAACTAGAGTGAGTCCCTTTCTTATGCCCTACTTTTGAGTCGACTCAAAACTAGAGTGAGTCCCTTTCTTATGCCCTACTTTTGAGTCGACTCAAAACTAGAGTGAGTCCCTTTCTTATGCCCTACTTTTGAGTCGACTCAAAACTAGAGTGAGTCCCTTTCTTATGCCCTACTTTTGAGTCGACTCAAAACTAGAGTGAGTCCCTTTCTTATGCCCTACTTTTGAGTCGACTCAAAACTAGAGTGAGTCCCTTTCTTATGCCCTACTTTTGAGTCGACTCAAAACTAGAGTGAGTCCCTTTCTTATGCCCTACTTTTGAGTCGACTCAAAACTAGAGTGAGTCCCTTTCTTATGCCCTACTTTTGAGTCGACTCAAAACTAGAGTGAGTCCCTTTCTTATGCCCTACTTCCTTCCTCTTCCCTGTGTCCTCCTCCGTTTTGTTTTGTTTGGTTTTTTTCCCTGGAATAGGGACAAGGTTGGCTATTCTCTCCTCCTCGCCCTCTCACGACCCAGCCTCTTCCATTTCAAACCCACTTCCTCCCCTCTCTCCCTCCCCCCTCTCCAGCTCCCTCCCCTGGCAGAGCGCGGAGACAGCAGGGGTGTGGTCCGCTGGTTCAAAGACCACCATGATTCCCGCCCTCTGGTCCTCCTCGCCATCTGGTCCTCCTCTCATCCTCCCACTACTCACTCTCTTCCATCTCATGCACACACTACCTTGCTGACTGTTTGCTCTCCCACTCCCTTCGTGTCTGCCCCAGCTCCCTCCCCTGGCAGAGTGCGGAGACAGCAGGAGTGTGGTCTGCCGGGTCTGAGAGCACCATGATTCCCGCCCTCTGGTCCTCCTCGCCCTCCCACGACCATTTCTCCCCTCTCTACCCCCTGCTTGCCCCCAGCTCCCTCCCCTGGCAGAGCGCGGAGACAGCAGGGGTGTGGTCCGCAGGGTCTGAGAGCACCATGATTCCCGCCCTCTGGTCCTCCTCGCCCTCCCACGACCCCTTCGACAGCAGCGCTGGCTCCGAGTATGGGGGGCTGGGAGGGGCGGGGGAGGGAGCAGGAGGCGGGGGCGGGGGTGGGGGTGTGTACGGTGGCATGATGGCAATGGGAGGGGGATTGCAGGGGCTGTATGGAGCAGCAGGAGGAGGAGGAGGGGAAAGAGGGGGAGGAGGAGGGGGAATGGGGGCGGGGGCTATTGACGTGCCACAGTATTCAATGCAGTATCAGTATCAGAATCAGAATCAGAATCAGAATCAGAATCAGTTTAATAGCCGGTGGCCGGTTTTCGGGAGGAATTTCGTGCCTCCGCCTTCGATCAACGTGAGCCGATCAAGACAAAGCTCCTTTCACTCGGAAAGCAGCTTTGGAATGGGAGGAGGCGGAGGAGGAGGAGGAGGAGGAGGAGGAGGAGGAGGAGGAGGAGGAGGAGGAGGAGGAGGAGGAGGAGGAGGAGGAGGAGGAGGAGGAGGAGGAGGAGGAGGAGGAGGAGGAGGAGGGGGAGGGGGGGGAGCAGGCCCAGGGTCAGCAGGGGCAGCGCCAGCAGGATTCTCCATATTCGGTCTCTTTAGGGGCGTCGGGGGGAGGGGCACAGGGGGAGGCGCGACAGGGGCAGGCGGAGGAGGGGGAGGTGCAGGCGGAGGGGGGATAGGGGGAGGAGGGGGGAGTGGGGGATCGACGTATCTGACAAACGGGAGCAGCAGGGGGAGCACTCCTAGGGGCGAGATGGAGAGGGAGAGGGAGAGGGTGACGCCGTCAGTGGTGGCGAGACTAAGGGTGGATATAGCAGCTCTTGAAGAGGCTCTGGCAACGATTGAGCAGATTGCTCAAACCTCTGCCGACATGCGCTCGTCCCTGGCTCAGGTGAGTTGCTCTTAGGGGATAGGAGAGGGAGAGGGTGACGCCGTCAGTGGTGGCGAGACTAAGGGTGGATATAGCAGCTCTTGAAGAGGCTCTGGCAACGATTGAGCAGATTGCTCAAACCTCTGCCGACATGCGCTCGTCCCTGGCTCAGGTGAGTTGCTGTAGGTGGGGGGGGATAGGGCGAGAGGGTGATGCCTAGAGGGTGATGCCTAGAGGGTGACCCCATTAGTGGTGGCGAGGCTGAGGGTGGATATAGCGGCACTGGAGGAGGCTCTGACAATGATTGAGCAGATCGCACAAACCTCGTCTGACATGCGCTCGTCCATGGCTCAGGTGGGTGTCTGTCCTTGGGAAGCAGGTGACGCCTAGAGGGTTAGACTGTCAGTGGTGGCGAGGCTGAGGGTGGATATAGCGGCACTAGAAGAGGCTCTGGCAACAATTGAGCAGATCGCCCAAACCTCATCTGAAATGCGCTCGTCCCTGGCTCAGGTGAGTTGCTGTACCGGGGGGGGGGATAGGCCTACAGGTGAGGGGTGGATGCCTAGAGGGTGGCGCCTAGGGGGTGGGGTCGTCAGTGGTGGCGAGGCTGAGGGTGGATATAGCGGCACTGGAAGAGGCGTTAGCGACGATTGAGCAGATCGCACAAACGTCAGCCGACATGCGCTCGTCCCTGGCTCAGGTGCGTGGCTTTACGGGGGAAGGATAGGCCTGCCTATAGAGGGTGCAAGGCTGAGGGTGGATATAGCGGCACTTGAAGAGGCTTTGGCAACAATTGAGCAGATCGCACAGACCTCGTCTGAAATGCGCCCATCTTTCGCCCAGGTGAGAGGTGTCATAACAGTCGAGCACCACGGAAGGAGGCAGGAAGGGGAGTTGGTGTATAGATGTTTTAAACATTTTTTATCCGCTTTCCTCTCTCCAATTGCAGGGCCTGGAGCAGATTCTTTCATGCAACAAGACCAAAGACCAGAAGAAACCTGCTGCTAGGCCGACGACGTCCTCTCTCTCGCTCTTCTCACCCTCGTCCAAGGCCCACTTTCAAGGGCAAAGAAGGATCAGTGGGCTTTCTTCCTCCTCCCCCTCTGGTCACTCCAGCCAAAGCAAACAGGGCCATTTAGCCACGCGCCATCCAGCAGACAGTGCAGGTGCTTCTGCTCGTACTACTAACCGGGATTCTAATGACGCAGGTGCTATCACCTGCAGTGGCAGCAGCAGCAGCAGCAGCAGTAGTAGCAGCAGCAGCAACTCGGCTTCTGCCCCTGCATCGAATGATTCGGCTATTGTTGCAGCGGGTACGGTTACTGCTTGTTTGGTTACCGCCACTACCACCACCACAACCACCATGACCACTACCACTGCCGCTGCTGCCGCGGGCACTGCTGTTACAGAGCTAATTTTAGACAAGTCTTTTTGGGCCAAGGTAGAGTCTGTAGAGGAGGAAGCGCGGCAGATGAGGATAGTGTTTGGAGCAGCGGCACATTTGCCAATCAGTTGGAATGCAGGGGGGTCGGGAGGAGGGCGGATGGGTGGGGGAAGGCATGGGATACCTGCTGAGAGGGCGGGCGAGGTTGTAGCCTCTGTTGGGCTGGAAATTGCCGAGTTTGCCCTCGTGGTGGTGGGGTTGCTGCGGCCGGTGCAAAAGGGTTTCTAGGTTTGGAAATTGGGGCAACTTGTGGGGGTTACTTACCGTAGCAGTGGTGGTTTGGTAAGTGGCCCGGCCCATGCAGGTGGTTCTTCTGGCAATGGTTTTGAGTAGACTGCCCTTTGGCAGCAGGGTAAATTGTGGAGTTTGCCCTTGTGGCAGCAGCAGCAGCAGGATTAGATTGCCCTGCCAGCACACACAGACCAAATCACAGCCAGCTGACCACGAAGTACGGTACCGTATCTGACCAAATCACAGCCAGCAAGACGATATTATGCAAATGCCTTAGAGCGTGTTCCTACGGCCTCTTGTCAGTGCAGTGGTATCTAATCAATGCCCTTTTGCTTTGGTGTACCAGTGTCGTCCTTCTGTGAGCAACTAAGAATGGGAGTGATCCTGACTGGTGCAGGGCACATCGGCTTGGCTTGAAGATATCAACCGTCTATCACACCCAAGGCAGGTTGCTGTTATAACGAGGATGTTGTGAAAATCAGGGCCTACAAGTGCAACACATGTCCAACATCTAAGGTCGCAGGATAGCAGCCGTTGACCGTTCCTTCGAAAGGCATTTAGGTAAGTAACATTTTTAGTATGATTTGCCGCAGTGAATCAGACTGCCTGCACCTAGGAACAAGCCGAACACAGCTGCACTACCCAATGTGGTCTGGCCAATGTACCGAACCTTGAGCAGGCCCGGAACCTGGTAGGTTCGGCAGTGAGACAGGAAACATGGAACAGGGGCATGAGAAAAGAGGCAATGCGGTAGCAGACCGCCATCCGTGTTTGAGATGTCTGGAAATTATGGTTACATCGTGCTATTGTGCTATCAGCGTAAATGGAACGTACAGAGAAGGGGATAGTGAAGAATGAAGAACGGGATAATCGGGGAGGTGGACAGCAGGGAAGGGGGGTTGGGGGAGAGGGATGAGAGGGGGTTGGGCGCTGGTTGGGGGATGAGAGGGGGTTGGGCGCTGGTTGGGGGATGAGAGGGGGTTGGGCGGAGTGAAAAGGGCGCAGTTGAAAGGAAGCAGGGAAAGTGAGAGAGGAGAATGTGGAAGGTGAGAAGGGCTGATCGGGAAGGAGCACAGACAGGCTCTTGAATGGCGCAGGGTCACAGACTGGCCCCCATGACTCTTCATTCATCCCCCATATGAAGTTATTCGCTATGTGGATTCCATCTCCCATATGGAGTTTATCTCCCATATAATGTGCTTTGTATCACATATACGAGTCATCTTGAAAACAAACACCTTGCTCGTGACGTACCTTGTATCTGAACGCTTCGTATGTCCCGTACATGGCTCCTGCAAGGAATCGCGAGGAGAAGGCGAGGAGATGTGAGACAAGCGGAAGGAAAGAGAAGGCAAGAGAAGAGACGAGAAGAGGAGAGGAAAAAAGAGAAAGGAAGAGAAGTGAAGAGAAAAGTAGGGACGACAAGAGGAGAAAAGAGACGAGGCGAGAAGGGACTAGACAGGACGACACGAGACGAGACGAGAAGAGAATAGGCTAGAAAAGAAGGAAACGCGGAGTGCAGAGCAGAGGAGAGCCAAGCGGAAACGAGAGGAAAGGGTAGAAAAGAGAGGAGAGATATGACGGGAGGTGACATAAGACGAGGTGAACAGAGGAGAGGAGATTGGGGAGATTGCACAAAGTGCATCCCCTAGCTTTCACGTTAAAAAAAAAAAAAAAAAAAAAAAAAAAAAAAACACCAAGTAAGGTGACTTGTAAGTCGACTCAAAGGTGCACCCTCTCCTTATTCCACCTTTCTCTCCTCTCCTGCCCTTGTAGTTCATTTAGTGACCATCGCAGCTAGTCTCAGAACTAAAAATCTCACTGCTCGAATGTGACAACTAGAATCGGGTGACAATCAGAGCGGCTTCTCACCAATCGCGCCGCCAACTGCGCCGCCGACGGCGACACCCGCGATGACCCTGTTCATGCACCGATCCATGGTCGCTGGTATGTACTGGTGCGTACTGGTGCGTACTGGTACGTACTGGTACGTGGTGGTACGTGGTGGTACGTGGTGGTACGTGGTAGTACGTAATGGTACGTGCTGGTCCGTGCTAACGGTATAACCAAGGGCTATAGAGGGGAATCAACTGGGGGGTAGGCGACGGCCGACGACGGTCCGCCAATAAATCCGGGTTGGGAAATCTCAGAACACGGATAGGTTTCACGAGGATACGCGCGTCGAAGGAGTCGATCGCTACGAGCAACTTGTCAGTCGAGACAAACAGAGCTCCGCACCGCGCGATGGATAAGGCGAGATCGGGCCTCGTTTCAACTAGCACGCGAGATTCGACGATTTCCTCCCTAAAAAAGTCGTGAAAATCGATGTCGTTGAGTTGAGCTCGAAAGGGCCGATAAGCTCGTCTGGGATACAGCCGGGCTGTATCGAGGCCACGAAAAGCAACAATCGACACAACGCGTAGGATAGGACTCTAAGACTACAAGGCGTAGCCAGAGAATTATCCCCAAGGTGGTGAAAGAGGCAGTGTTGAGGACTACCTTTTTATGGTTTGGTTTGGTTTGGAGTCCAGTGGGTCTTCCAGTGTTCACTCTAACGAGGGCGTAATCTAAACGGGAGTCAGGTTCGTTGGACCATCCAGGGAGGGACAATTCGTCCCGGACACCTGATATCAGGACGCGTCACTTTTGGAAAAACGAGGAAGGATCGGGATTGTTTACCGAACCTGCCAAATCGATCGCCACATCGGTGTGCCACGACTGAATTTTTGCAATCGCGGGCCCACCGCAAGTCCCAAGTGACACGGTCGGAAAATCATGGGGCAAAATTGCCCGATGTGGACGAAATTGCGCGATCGATGTGTGACAAGGGCACACCGATCGCCCGACTCCGAGGGGACAACTGTACATTGGCGAGAGATGACGAAGACAGGTAACCAGAAATTAACGACGTCGTGAATGCGAAAAACCGATCTTGTGCAGGATCGGTGTTCACTTGTGACGCGTCCTCAGTCCTGCTGAAGCATTGGAGGGTGTTGGTCTCAATATTGGACAGTACACATGACCCTCGTTTCGAGTTACAAGACGCGATTACGAAGGAATAGCTCCTACGGAGCAGGAAACGTTGAAAGTTTGTTTGAAAATTTACCCTCTTGGCGATAGACAAATATAAAAAGTTTTGTGTTCTATATACCGAGTTTAACAATAACGAGAAATTGTGAAGCACCAAGCCAAGCCAGCCTCCTGTGCTTCCACAGTAACTAGAATTTCCTGCCCTAACTAGGTCTCCTAGAAAACAGGTCTTTAATCTCCTCGTCGAAAAATATTCCGCTATGACTCATCCGTTATCCGATGCCGCTGTTCCCTTGGATTTTCCAGACGCGGATCCTTTTAGTTCCGAAGACGCTGACTTCGCTCAAGCCTTAGAGGACGACCTTTGGAATGGAGACGAGGAATCTAATAGCGAGGATGAAGAAGACGGAGACGGCGGCTGTGGTAAGGATCCGGGATTTGAAGACGGATCGGACGGTGATGCGGATGACGCGGTAAGATCTGACGGCGAGGCCGAGAGAGATCTTCAGCGGGGTGAACGGAAGAGAGGAACTATTTGTCGGGTGAGTTACCCTGATTTTTGTTAATACAATTTTTAGCACAGGAATCCGCTGGTTTTATGGATATAACATTATTCAACTTTTTATTGCTTCTATTCTCTCTTTTCTTTCACAATAAATTCGTCTCTCTTGTACCACTGTCTCACCTCGGCTTGCAGGATATCGACGTCTGTGCGGATGACAACAATGATAACGAGGCATTCTCTGCCGAAGCGGATAACAATTCCGGCGAAGAAGAAAACAGCAGGTCGCAGAAAAAGAGGCGGATGGGGGACGAAGGGAGCCAGCCAACAGGCTCTGCCGGGCCTTCGGGAATTGAGATTCCGAAGCCTGCGATTCGTTTTGGAGACCCGCAATTCACGGGGAGTCTTGGCCTGCTTCCGCCGGAGCTGTACCACCACGTCCTTAAGTTCCTGTCCGCGGAGGTAGGCACGGGGAAATAGGGGAGGGATAGAGGGAGGAGGGAGGGGGAGGGGGGAAATGTGGGGAAAGAAGAAGGGGGAGAAATTGCTGTCTCTTTCACCCCGTTCCAACCCCTCCTTCCGTCAGTGTGTGCATGTGTGTGTCGCTACCTCCGCATGCCATCATGCGAGGAGACTCTCTGGCGCCGCCATCCCCTTTCGCCTCCTGTCCCGCCCCTCCTTCCCCCTTCCCGTTCCCCTGCTGCCCACGCCCCCCCGTCCCCTCTCCCCCCCCCAGGACCTGTCGGTGTGTGCGTGTGTGTGTCGCTACCTCCGCACGGCACCATCCAGGAGACTCGTTGGCTGGGGTCCCCTCTCCCTGCTCACCACTCCCCCCGGTCCCCCACTCTTCCCTGCGCTGCCCTCCCCTTCCCGCACTTCCCCTTCCGCCCCCCCTCCCCTCCCCACACCAGGACCTGTCGGTGTGTGCGTGTGTGTGTCGCTACCTCCGCACCGCATCATGCGAGGAGACCCTCTGGCCACTCTTGCCCCTCTCATGCCTCTCCTGCCTCCTTACCTCCTCTTCCTGTGCCCCCCCCACCCTCCCCTCCCCCGCCTCCCAGGACCTGTCGGTGTGTGCGTGTGTGTGTCGCTACCTCCGCACGGCATCATGCGAGGAGACTCTCTGGCGCCGGGCCTACTGCATCCGATGGGCCCCCCCCGTCCCCCTCCTCCCCAACCCACCCCACCAGGACCTGTCAGTGTGTGCGTGTGTGTGTCGCTACCTCCGCACCGCATCATGCGAGGAGACCCTCTGGCGCCGGGCCTACTGCATCCGATGGGGGCCCCCTCCCCCTCCTCCGCCCTCCCCGCTCCCCCCTTGCCCCATTCCCCGCTCTCCCCGCGCCCCACCTCTTCCCCCCACCAGGACCTGTCGGTGTGTGCGTGTGTGTGTCGCTACCTCCGCACGGCATCATGCAAGGAGACTCTCTGGCGCCGGGCCTACTGCATCCGATGGGCCCCCCCC